CAAGTCATTTTATTCATCCGTTGTAAAATCATATGTCAAGCGGAGCACTTGTTGGTGTTGTACTACCTACCGTTTTTGTTATTATTTTTATTTTTATTTTTTGAAGTGTAGTAGTTAGTTCCAACAAATTCATTTTTTATGAACGTATTTATGTAGTCATTGTAGTGCTTGACTTGCTTTCGATTATGATAAGATTATGCCTTTGTTGCTAATAAGATTATGATAATAAATTACTTGGTTCTTAAGTGTTCGATAACAATGATTTTCAAGGTTCTAAATATATTCTTGTTAAAGCAGGCTGACCCGTCACACATCAGGCTTAAATATTTTGAATTTTTGAAAACCAGAACTAAAAAACTCACAAGCTAGGGTTCAAGTAATCCTAACATATCCCATCTCGGTTGGTGGACCCCATGGGTTGGACAAATATGATTAACTTAAAATAAAAATTAAAAAAAAAAAGTAACAATTCAAATCACGATTGGTAAATAAGCATAAAATTCTTTTTAAAGAATAAAAATAAATACATTACAATATTACAAATTAATAACATATACTCAGTATATTTTTGTTTATACATATAAAGGGTTTGGCCCACCACCGATTGACCCGCCCCACTGTGGGTCAAGGACGGGTCACTATATATATAGACACGTAATATGATAAATTAATCTATATTTACATTGTTATTATACATTCATATAAATTAATTTATGATTTCAAGAAAAATTATTTTACATTCCAAAAGTATGTCATTAGCTAGTATACAATAAATGATAATATACTTTGAAAAAATAATAATTGTTTCTAAATTGTCAATATAATTTTATTTTTTAATTTTTGAAATCTAGTTCTCTAATTATCCTTAAAAAAATATAAAGTTAGTCGTAGTGTTATATGCTTGATTATGAAATAATTAGAGAATTAGATTTTTTTTTTTTTTTTTTTTTTAAAAAAAGTAAGGAATCACACTGATGATGACTTGAAAACACTAGAAGGCCCACAATTTTGATTTTTTTAAATAAAAAGGAAAATGTAAAATTTTCATGCATAAATAATAAATGTATTACTAATCTAATTTGGGTGGCCAAGACCTTGTGGTCTAATGGCACCCGGGTTGCACTCCCATATAGAAAAGAGTGGGTTCGAGCATCAACGGAGGCATCATTGACTCTTTGTTGTGTGATGAATCTTTGTGTCCTCTATTGAGGCTTGAACCCACTCCCTTCATATGGGAGTGCAACCCGGGTGTCATTAGACCACAATGTCTTAGCCACCCAAACTAGATTAGTAATACATTTATTATTAACCTCAACCCTATATTCGATCATAAATTTAAAATTACTTTCATAATCTAAATTAAATTTAATAAATCTCAAATTTTAAGGTAAAAATAAATGCGTTCGGACACAACATTATATTTTCTTCCCTATATAAGAGCCGCCCAACCGTTCTTTAATTTCTTTGTTTTTTGAGACTATATATAATACATAAACATAAGAAACTACTCTACAAGGAAATGAAGAAATACATTAAAATCATATAAATTAGAAAAATATTCAGAACACCTGTATATATTAGACAAACATATTATGATCTTATCACAATCTTCATCACTTTACTTGATCATAATAAAATCCAAATTTCTCCCATACCCATATATACAACCCTTCTGTTGTGTTGGACTTGGAGGACCAATCCCAGGATGACAGGTACATTTTTCATCATCATGTGTCCCTAAATCCAATAGAAGAACTAGAGGAGGCAGAAGTGCAACCTCCGTGCAAAATCTGTGCTTCTTCTTCACAACCAGTTGCAGAAAAGAGAGCACATCAATCATCCATGGAAATCCTACCATACCATCATATACAGGATTTCAAATTGATCCTGCATTAATTGTTGACATAGCTACACTTATCCGGCTTGCCCAAAATGATTTGATAGATCCTCATCTCTTGACCATGTTTATAAGCAACCCACAATTGATTGAGCAGGAGATGATATGTCGTAGGTAGTTTTACCTATCGAATTTGATGTTGGGATGCCATGAACCTCGGTTGTGTTTCTCCATTTCCTTCCTTGATCGGATATTTCCAGAAAAACCCTCCATTTTCTTGAGAAAAGCAAAACAAAAACAAATAAGAATTCCTTAGTCTTTGCTTCAGAAAAACCCAAAAAATTTATGTCTCGAGTGAGTAGATTAAGCTGATATATATCTAATAACAAATAGAAGTTGTGTTTATAGTTTATAATTAGTTGTTCTTTTTTAAAAAAACAGTAGTTATAATTCCAATAAATGTACATAGTAATATCATTAAAGTTATTTTATTTCTCCGTTAAAGTTATTTTATTCCTCCGTTGTAAAAGCATATTGCACGGGGACCACTTGTTTATGTTGTACTCTCTGCCTTTTGAAAAATAATATTTATAATTTTAATAAATATACATCGTAATAATATCACACAAGCCATTTTATTCATCCGTTGTAAAATCATATGTCATGCGGAGCACTTGTTGGTGTTGTACTACTTACCCCGATGTCAACCACGAGGCCTGGCAACCGGCTGTATGGTGTGATCCGTAGGCTCGTGTTCGGACAAACCGACTGACTGGGTGGCAGGCGGTTGCTACGACGGCAGTGCAGCGGTATCGTCGCTGGAGGCGGCGTCGATGCTGCAGTGGGGCTGCCCAGGCGGGGGAGTGATGATCACTGCCTGGTAAAAAATTGATTCAGCCCATGGAGTGATCTATATTGGAGGAGATGTCTGCAAATTATTTTTAGTAGCAAAGGGATATACTGTCTCATCAAACCGCACATGCCTGAACACATAAATCTTGTTAGTCTGTAAGTCCATGCACCTATACCCCTGGAACGACTTAGGATATCCTAAGAAGACACATGGAGAGGAACGATATGACATTTTGTGACGATTATATGGTGCTAAGATACGGATAACATAGACACCCAAAGACACGAAAAAAAGAGTAGGAGATATGGGAGTTATGCAATTTTAAATGAGGACTGGAGTTATTTAATACAACAAATGACATTTTGTTGATTAAATAAACTACAGTTTCAAAGGTAAAATCCCAGAATTTATATGGAGCAGAGGGACATGCTAGGAGAGCTAAACCCGTTTCAACTATGTGTCTATGCTTTCGTTCGACACGACCGTTTTGTTCATGAGTGTAGGCTCATGACTGCCTATGATTAATGCCTCGTTGCAAAAACAAATAATGTAATTTCTTATATTCAGCTCCTAGATCATATTGAATGGACTTGATTTTACTATTAAATGAACGCTCAACTAAAGCACAAAATTGATTAAATATGACATAAAGATCATATTTCTGCTTCATAGGAAAATACCAGGTGCAACGAGAATAATCATCAACAAAGATGACAAAATAACGATAACCATTGGAGGATAGCAAATGAGCTGGTCCCCAAATATCAGTGTATATCAAATCAAGAACATCGGAACTATTAGACTCAACACGTGATAAAGGAAAGCGTGCAGATTTTCCCAATTGACATGCTTAACATAAACTGGAATTACAACGAATAGTACGACTAGAGCCATGAACCGGACAAGACTGAAGAACTTGACTAAGGACACGCTGATGAGGATGATCGAAACGACATGCCAAACCGAAGCGGAAGCACGAGCAGAGAGAAACATGGAAGGAAACGAATTTGGAACAGGCAAAGTGTAAAGGCCACCCGAACTACTACCCCGTAGGAGGATTTCCTTGGTGGTGATATCTTTCACAAGAAAAAAAAGAAGGATGAAACTCAAAGAACACATTGTTATCTGTAGCAAAACGTTGAACAAATAATAAAGAGGTAGACAGACCAAGAACATGCAATATATCAGACATCGTAAAAGACCTAAAAGGTGTATCAAAAGTAACATGACCAACACGACTAATAGACAGGCTCATACCATTACCAACACATAAAGTGTCATTACCAGTGTACTTCTCCGAGGTAGAAAGGGCAGCTATGTCTGAAGTTGCATGATTTGTGGCTCCAGTGTCCGAAATCCAAGTATGAGAGTTTGACGAGGTTTGCACCCAAACCATCCCTAAACACCAAATTAGCCTCAGAACCCGGAGCTCCTGAATAACACCGAAAACAATTGCCTCCTATGTGACCGAAGCCATTACAAATTTGACAATGTTCATCATAGCGTCGAAAACAATTGGCTCCCGTGTGACCAATCCATTACAAATTTGACATTGTTCATAAAAACGCCGAAAACATTTGACTCCCATGTGACCAAAACCATCACAAATAATTTGACACTGAACATTAAAACGCCGAAAACAATTGGCCCCCGTGTGACCGAAATCATCCCAAATTTGACACTGAACATTAAAGCCACATCCGCCACGCTACTGATCTCGGTGCAGACGGCTACTACCTCGATTTTCATCACCACCACGTTGCCAGCCTCCACGGTTTTGACCAAACAACCCTATTTTGGCTTCCATTATCATCGACTGCAATTAATTTTGGCAATCTATGAGAAAAGGACACGTCATGGCCAATTTGACAAACTTAATAATTATCAAACGTATTAAAGCAGATCATATAAACCCAGAATTTGATTCCTTAGTAAGTTGACTCCGCCGTTTTGATTAGCCGGCCAAAGGCTAGAAATCCTTCTGATCTGTCGAAGACGTAGCTTGGGGTTGGCTGCAGGACTATGGCATTGGCGAATTTTAAACAGAAATCCTAACTAACTCATACCAGAATTGATAGAATTGTATTGAATGAATGTAATAACAACTGTACAGACGAGGGAATATATACAAAAGGAATTATAGGAAGACTTGGACTGGGAGTTATAATGTGACTCAAATACAAAGAGTCTTAATACTAGTCTTAATAGGCCAAACTTGATCTAATTCATCCATTTTGATTATCAAGGATTAAAAGTTAATGAAAAATAATAGGAAAATGGGACGGGTAAGTTTTTTGAAAGCCAACAACCTCAGATTGCATTAGCCACATCAGGCTCAAGAAAAGGATGAGGAACATCCCTCCATTGTGAACGTGCCAACGTGGCACTTACATGCTTTGCCATAACGTGGGCCGCCTGTACAGCATCCCTACAAACATGATTTACTACCGAACTAGACATAGTGGAAAGTAAATGTTTACAAGAAAGCAAAACATAACCAAGATAAGTACGAAAAGAACATGCATGGCTAAGACTAGAGACTAAAATCGAGCTATCCGTGTAAACTGTGATCATTGAGAAGCCATTATTCCTTAACCACGATAGAGCCTCACACATTGCTAACGCTTCCGCCAAAATGGGGTCATACGAGCAAATAAGCGGTCCATTCCCTGCTGCCACAAAAGATCCATCTGCTTCCTGCACAATAATACCATAAGCTGGAACACGAGTCGGTCCATGAAAGCCTGCATCAACCCGGCAGATCACACCAGTCGGTGGCGGTAGAAGTGGATTCGGCGTTGGGGGTGCATGCGGTACACGGCTGATGCTGCGCTGCTGCTCACTTGCGATCCACGTCGCCCACCTAGCCGAGAACCGTTGCAACAACACATACAGAACCGGCAGACAGCCTTCCCATACCGCCTCATTCCTGGCAGACCAAATATCATATAGCAATCCACAAATCCTCCCATGTGCTTCTGTATTATAGGCGGCCGAGACACCAAGCCACAACTCCATCCATTGCACAAAATTCATGCCGTCAAAAGAGGGAATAGGCAGTTGAGAAATGTTCCATACATGTGTAGCAAAATAACAAGAACATAAAATATGCATGACATTCTCCTCATCCGTTCCACATGCCGGGCAAATATTAATAAGCTCCACCCTTCTCTTAATAAGATTATTAAGAGTAGGCAAATTTACTGATAGAGCTCTCCACAGAAAGTTCTTCCATTTCGGGGGCACCTGTAGTTTCCAAAGATTTCCCCATACTGGCAAGCATGGTCCATTCAACTCCCCTAACTTCCTGTAACCATCCTTAACTGAATAGCAACCCCTCAAATCCCTATCCGAATACCACATATCATCATACTCCATACTTATTGGCAGCTATTTGATGAGCAGCACATCTCGTGGGGCAAAATGTTGTTGAATAAAATCATCTTTCCACCCATTGGTGGAATTATCAATCAGGTTAGAAACAAGAAGGTCCTGATTCAAACCCGGTTGAATAGGTCCCACATAGGGATCATGTGCATCAGGGAGCCAAGGATGAGACCAAACCCTTGTGGTCCTGCCATTACCAATTCTACGCCTGCATCCAGATCTGAGCAAAGCCTGACCTGCGAAAATACTCCTCCACGCGTAACTCGGGTTACCACCCATAGAAGCCTCATAAAACGTAGTAGTAGGGTAATACCTGGCCTTGAAAACCCAAGCCATTAGAGACCCCGGGTTGGTTAGCAAACGCCACCCTTGTATAGCCAAAAACACAAGATTAAACTCGTGCAGGCGCTTAAAACCCAAACCTCCAAACTTCTTTGGCACACACATTCTGTCCCAGGACATCCAATGAATGCTACCCTCTGAGCATTTCTGCCCCCACCAGTACCTATTCATCAATCTTTCTAAGGCATTAAATAAAGTTTTATGAAGTAAATAAATGGTCATCGTATAGGTGGGCATTGCCTGAGCAACACTTTTCAAAAGCACCTCCTTTCCAGCCCTGGATAACAGTCTTTTATTCCACGAGCCAAACTTTTGCTTCAGCTTCTGCTCAACATAGGCAAAAACCGCTTTCCTATTCCTGCCTACAACAGAAGGCAAACCAAGATATTTTCCAAAATCATCAGCTTGGCCAACACCTAAAGCATCCGCCACAAGATCCCTATCTTCCACAACTGTATTACGACTAAACGTAATACTTGACTTTTGGAAATTAACCGCCTGACCTGAGAAAGACTCATAAATTCCCAGACATTTCTTCACTTCCAATGCTTCCTGGAGATTAGCTTTAAAGAAAAGCAGACTGTCATCTGCAAAAAACAAGTGTGAGATCGATGGAGCCCCCCTGGCCACTCTACACCCATGTAAAAGCCCTTTAGCCTGTGAGTCCTGCAACAACAATGATAAGCCTTCAGCACAGATAATAAACAAATACGGAGACAAAGGGTCCCCTTATCTGAGGCCCCTCGTCGGTACTATTTCCTCTGTCGGTTTTCCATTGACCAGCACCCTGTACCGCACCGTTTGCACACACATCATTACCAACTGAACCCATTTGTCATCAAAACCCAAACCAATCATCATCTGACGCACAAAAGGCCACTCCATCCTATCATAAGCCTTAGCCATATCCAGCTTTAAGGCTGCCCAACCAACCTGCCCCAACTGTTTCCTCCTCAAATAATGACCAACCTCATATGCAATAAGTATATTATCTGAGATCAACCTACCAGGTAAAAAAGCACTTTGGGAAACTGAAATCATACACTCAATGTGACACCCCGAAAATTCGTGCCTTAATCCCGAATTAATTCCTTGTGATCTTATCTTAAATTCCCTTTGAAATTAGTTGAGGGACCAAATTTGACCAAATCCCTTACTCTTTTAATTTGGTCAATGAGTTGTACATTGGGCTTTAGACCTTGTACCTTAGACTTTGCATTTCTCCTAACAAGTTTTGGGGGGAAGGGGCCCTTTTGGTCATTTCACACAATGCAAGCATTAAAACCCTACCCTAACCAAGGAAATCCAAATGACTTTTCAGGATTTCCCTTCTCTCTACATCTGTTTCTTGTTCCCTACTCCTCCTTCTCTCTAGGAAATCCTAGGGTTCATCCTCACAAGTTCTTCAAGGAATCCCAAGCCAAGATTCCACCTTTCCAACTCTACAAGGCTAGGAATGTTAAGATCTATCCTTCCCCATCTTTTCCTTACAAGATTCCTCCATCTTTTCTCTAAATCTTTTTTCTACCTTGTGGGTTTTGGGAGTTTGTAGAAAATCTAGTGGTGGGTGAAGTGCTAGGTTGTTCTAGAAGAGCTTTGGTCTTGCTTTGAGGTTGAAGAAAGTGTTCTTGGTCTACAAGAGGTAACCCATGCTTCACAAAACCTATTTTCACTTGATAATAATGATTATTGGCTTCTATGTGAAATTCTTGATGTGTTTGAGTAATTGATGCATGATCTTGTGATAATGCATTTTTAGAGCTTGTGTTTTGGGTTTTTGGATGCTATTTTATGAGTTATTCATAGGTTCAAGTCATATCTTTGTTGAGTGGAAGATTTGGGGTCATTTGGACTTGAACTTGGCCTGAAAAGTGATTTTTCGCGAATGCTGATTTTTGGGTGCAGGACGTACCCGCGGGTGGAGCCCTACCCGTGGCCCTACCCGCGGGAACATGTTTGAGAAATGGTTTGGGGTTGTTTTCCCACCCTTTCGCCCATTCGTGTGTGATTCTTTGGCCCCCGTTTGATTGGATTGTTGAGCTTTTGTGTGTCTCCTTGTTATTACGTATGTCTAGAGCGATGTCTTAAGTATCCATGTTAGGATTTGGTATCTTGAATCGTGCTTATGATCCAACCTTGTGATTCGTTGGATTGATGTTGAGTCTTTGTGGTTCATTGGAACTATTTTGGTTTACCCGTTTGATATGCATGCTAGTTTGATGTTGAAATGCTAGTGTGTGTGGTTTGTTCTTTCCTATTGAGGGTGGCAACTTGTGTTGACCATTGTTGGTGTCGGATTGTAATCCTTCCTTGTTGAGTACGGTTTCATATCTTCGTTGTGATCCGTTGATTGATCCCTATGATGGTGTTGTGTGTCTAGCTGTACCTTGATTGCACGGTTAATGGTATGGGACATTAATCACCAAGGTATAGATGTGGTCCTCGTGGTGGCCATGGATTGATGTGATGAGATGTTTGAGCTGGTAAAGTGGACAGTGTGGGGACTTATGTGTGAACGGACCGGTAGTGTAGCTCCGGATGGCCGTTGGATACTTTACTTGTGGGCAACATGGGAAACTTATCCCCGTTGCCAGAGATGGTAACTAACCCGTTGAGCTTGGAATCTCAATAGGGGGTGTATACACTTAAAGTTGCTAGCTCTGTTTCCATTGGGCTGCGGTCCTTGTCATTGCGATGACACTTGCATGTGATCCGGGTCGTTGCGATGACCACGTGAAGCATGATTGTTGATGATTTGGAGCCCTCCACACTGATCCACTATGAATCGAGCCGTGGTGCTGACTCCACGGTATATGACTTGGTGTGATAGTGTCCTATGTGGACTTGGAACTCGTTATAGTGTGAATCTGGCCTTCCATTGCTTAAGAACATGTCTATTGTGAGTCCTTCATTGTGTATTGTATGTTGTACCTTGCTGTTGAGCTTGTTGCTTGTGGTTCTGTTGTCTTGTTGAGTATGTTGGTCTTTGACCTTTGTTGTGAGTGATTGATAAGTCTATTGATGTTTCCTCTCTCGGCTTTAAATGTTATATACTGTATTCCCAGTTCTAAATGGTTTTGATTATATCTATGTATATTATGATACTTAACGCGTGTTGGTGGGTTACCAGCATTATTCGCTGACAGGGCGTCGTCCCATGTTTTATTGTGTTCTTTCAGGTGATGTCTAGACGAGCGCGATGTCTAGTGCCCGATAATTTAGTACCTTTCCTTTGCTTTATGGCCTGTGAGCCGATGTAGAGATAGACTTGTGATTTTGGGATAGTTGTGTACACAATGCAGATTTGACCGCCGTAGCGTTTATCATTGTTTGTAAACGTGGCATAACACCCCTGTTTTGGATTTACTTTTATCCAGTTACCTTTTTATCTTCCGCTGTGCTAGTGTTTTGTTGTGTTATCTGCATGTGTTAAGGCTTTTTATATAGCATGTTTGGGGGGTGTTACACTCAAGCAGCGGTTTCATACGATTAGCAATCATTTTAGCCATTATCTTATACAGCACATTACATAAAGCTATTGGCCTTAAATTAGACACAGACACAGGGGAACACTTCTTTGGAATCAAGACAGTATTGGCATCATTCAAATTAGCAGGAAAAGACTTCTCAGATAAACAATGAAGAACAATATCAGTAACATCCTTACCAATAACATCCCAGAAGGACTGATAGAAGCCTGGGTTCATGCCGTCCGGTCCCGGGGATTTATCCTTGCCCATAGAAAACAAAGCATTCCGCACCTCATCCGGCTCAAAAGGTCGCAACAAATCCTCATTCTGTACCCTGGTTACACACGACCGCATGGTATCCACATTGAAAACCCCTGGACTTCCGCCCGATGCAAAGATATGCTTATAATAGCTGGTAACCACCGAGTCCAAAGCACTACTCTCCCTCCAAACACCATTATCATCTTTTAGCTTCAGGATCACATTCTACTTTTTCCAGTATGTAGCATACTTGTGAAAAAACTTTGTATTCCTGTCAGCCCCCTGAAGCCAGTGCTGCTTAACACGTTGCCTCCAGAACGCCTCCTCCTGGGCAAGAACAATACCCAACTGCTCATCAAGCTGCCTAAACCGAGCCAAAGAAGCAGGCTCACGGCCACCTCGTAAGCCAAAGAAACAGGGTCACGGCCACCTCGTAAGGCATTCATTTCCTTTTGGATACCCTCTATCCGTTTACCATATCTATGATAGCGGTCCCCACCGCACCTCCTCATACCCCGACCACATACATCAAGTCTAGCCGTACTGGCCCACTCCCTCTCAACCACCTCCCTACAACCACCGTCCAGAAGCCACGCATTCTCAAACCGGAAGCCCCGGGACCTTGGAACATGAACCATCCCACATATATCCAGAAATAGTGCGTTATGATCCGACGAGTTAGTTCGAATATTAAACAATCTCGCCCTGTCATACTCCTCAAGCCGGTCCATATTCGCCGCCACCCTATCCAAACGCTCCTCTACCCAGCGAGCAGTCCCTCTACCACGCTCCCACGTGAAGGGATAACCAATCATGGGCAGCGTCATCAAACCACAGTCATCCAAAGCCTCACCAAAACCCTCAATCAAACCATCCGGATGTGGCAACCTTCCCCTCTTATCTGTCTGCATCAACAAATCATTAAAGTCCCCCAAGACTACCCAGGGAAGATCAGTCACCCCCCTGAGAGATCTTATGAAATCCCATGCAACCCTCCTCATGTCTCTCTGCGGATACCCATAATAGCACGTTAACCTCCAAAGTGGCCTATTCGATAATGACACCTTTAAAACAATATGATTGTGCGAATACTTAATCAAACGTGCACAATTATTCTTTGCCCCTAAAAAACACATTCCACCCCTCTGACGCTCACTATCCACCGCAAAACACCCCTCAAAACCCAGCTTTACACGGAGCCTCTCAGCATGGCTCCCGTCAACCATCGTTTCCATTAAAAACACGAACTCGGGCTTCTTCTTGGACACTAAGTCCACCACCTCCTGAACCATCCAGAGATTGCCCCAAGCCATGGCAGTTCCAGAATAAGGTACTCATTGAGAGCGGCGGGCCTGGTCCCCATGTCCCACCAAATTTAAAAAACCAGAATCCACCTGCATCTCCCCTCCTCCCTCATTCACCACCACACCATCCGCCCCCCTCCTACGCTTCGGATCAGCTCGTAGACCAAAATCCTCCCCCACGGCACCAATGGCCATTGCTGCCACCGGTGTCTCCGGTACTACACCTAAACCTGCAACCACACCGTCACCCTCCACCCCACCGGCTCCTCCAGACCGTAACTCCCCAACCTGACCACCTCCCATCGGAACACCCCCATAGCCTATCTCCCTCCTTCTCTCCTGCCCAAGCTGAAACCACTTATCCCTCAAAACCTTAGCTGGACTCAACGTGGACCTACGTGCCTCCAAGCAAAACTTGTCAATATGCCCCACCCTACCACAAAAGAAGCAGAACACATTCAGCCGTTCATACTTGAAATCAATCCACACCCAAGACCCATCACGTAAGATCATCTTCATGCGTCGTTTTAGAAGATTTGAGATGTCATGGCGAACATGAACTCTATAAAACGCAGTCCAGGAGCGCACAAAATTCCGATCATCTACCCGCAGAAACACCCCAACAAAATCACCTACCTTCTCCAACACCTTCTCCGTACGGTAGCCGATTGGTAGATTAAACACCTCCACCCAAAGGTCGACAGTGTTCAACTCCAACAAAGCTGGATTATCATCTCCCTCAAGAGGCTGACAGAGGAACAATGCATTCTCAAAGGCCCACGGCCCTTCCTCCAAAACACGGCGGCGATCTGCTTCATAAAAAAAAAAAAAAAAAAAAAGTAAACAAATAGAGCCCGGGGTTTACATCAGTTATCTCTATCCCCATCCGCGGACGCCATGCAGACGCCATGCAGACGCCATAACCCTCTTCATCATCTCCACCTTCAGATTCCGGTCAGTTAAGAACCGGCCGACTACAGACCACGTTCGTCGCACATCACCGTGATCGACACCCCCCGCCGGCTCATCCTCGAAACGGACTCCCAAGTCCTCATCCTCCAAAGTGATACCAGCCGTGCTATCAATAATGCCTTGTACATCAATATCGCCGGTCGCAAACACGTAAACAAAAGAAAGCTCCGATGGTTCATCGCCGTAGAAACCCTAGAAATCAGGGATAGATATCGGAACCCTAGAAGCCAGGGAGAGAACATTCAATATCATGGGACGGGTAAGTTAATTATTACAAACTTAAATTTTGTAATAATTATAAAATTAATCATTTTTTTACTAGAAGTTTCAACAATAGATAAAATTTAATGGGATACTACAATCCATTTTCACTTTATACACGAGAACCCTATTATAAGGGCATAAGGGTGTCCTTATTATCCCCGCAATACTCTCTCACTTTTAAAAGTGGGTTTTCCTTCTACATTACTAAATTTGCAATTCATTTACTATTCACATTACATTATTGCAAATCCAATCAACTTTCATAAGTCTGCCCCAATTTCACATCACTTTAAGAATTTAATATATGTAACATTAGGTATTAACTAAAAAAAAAAAAAAAAAACATTAATAACAAGTTTGCAACACATGCAAGCTTGCTAACCACATGTACAATAAAAAAAAGAAATTTATTTTCTTTTTCTACATCATTTAGCAAGTGGTATATTGACTGGGTTGACGACACCCTAACTCAACATAACTTGTCAAACTGCTGCTTGTTGATGGGATGTTTCTTCTTTTTCTCCATCTTTTCTTTGAAAATATACTAGCCAAATCTTGCATCACACGCGAAAGATATATATAGTAGCTGATTACTTACTACAAAAGGGATTAACATAAAACTTTTAATTTGCTGGGCACTTACCAGCAGTTTTTGGACGAGTATATATAGAAATTAGATTGAAGTATTTTTCTATTGCCAAAAAAAAAAAATTTAAATTATAGATCTTTTGCAAGGTCTGAAATCAATAATATATTTTTAGTTACAATGGTTGGTGTGGATGATAGAAGCTTTGAGTTCAACAACTTGTCTTTATAGTAAAGAAAATAATGGTTTTGCAGGTGTAACAAGACAGTGATGAATAATGATTGAAAAGATTACTTTATTCCGACAAAGGATTACCATTTTTCTAAGAGCATCCGTATCAGTTGGGAAGAATGTGGGGATAATGTAAAAGTAATTAGGAAAGGGAATGTAGGAAAAAAAAAAAAAAAAAAAAGAGAGAAAATTGATTTTTTTTAAAAAAAAATTTTAAAAATGATGTTGTCAGGCGCGGCTGACGCGCCACCGTGCACGTGACGCGCCAGGCTTTTCTCCAGCTGTGCGCGAAACGCGCACAACCTTAATTTTTTTTTTTTTAACTTCTGACATTATTTTTACATTTGCAATCAAATTCTTTCTCAATTATTTCCTTCCTCTACATCAGTTATGCTTTCACCTTGGGGAGAATTAATTCTGAAATAACTTCACTTTCTCTTCTATTGTGGATGCTCTTATCAGTTGGAGTTTTTTATGAGTTATTTGTAGGCCCCAGCATCTCAATCGCTATACCCTACACCACGGCACGCATAGCATTGTGCGCCGTGCGCCTCCCAAAACGACGTCGTTTTGGGGTCGTTTTGGGAGGCGCGGTAGGAAGTTGTTGTGATTATGTATATTTGTTCACACAATTATGTATATTTTTTCATTCAATTATGTATATTTGTTCATACAGTTATGTATATTTGCTCATACAGTTATGTACATTTTTTATATAATTATGTACATTCTTTTTATACAATTATGTACATCCGAATAAGAAAATTTGTGTGTATTATGTTAAGAGTTGATGTGTATTATGTTAAAAGTTTATGTTTATTATGTATTATGTTAGATTATGTGTATTATCTTTTAAAAAGAGTATGTATGTTTTGTTATATAATTATGTACATTCATGTATATAATTATGTGTATTCTAGTATAACATTATGTACATTTTTGAACAGGGGTTTTTTTTAAAGAAAAAATAACTGCCATTCACTGGGCGGGAAATTTCAAAAAAAAAAAATTAAAACGACGTCGTTTTGCATCTGGGCGCATAGTGCAACGCGCGCCGTGGTGTAGGATATAAATTGCCCCAGCATCTACCTCATTCTCCACTATCTCACTCAATCACAAATAACTCTTCTCCACATCAGTTTTAAGTTTTTTCTCAGTTTTTTGTGGACCCACTATTTAACCTACTATATTTTAATTATTTCTTTATCTATTTTATTTATAAATTTATAATTTTAATGAAACATGAAATTATGGAATTATGTCAACCGCAACATGCATACTGGAATTACGAAATATGGATACTGGAGTAATTGTTAAAACAAAATAAAATAAAAAGATAACTAAAATTAATTACTTAAAAATTAAACTACAACGCAGTTCAATATAAATCAATTACAAAGCGGTTAAAATAAATTAAAGTACATAAAGATTAAAATACAAAGCGGTTAAATTAATTGCCGTTGTTGCTCCATATATGCTCAACCAAATCCGCGCGGAGTTGATGATGCAATTGCGAGTAATGTAACTCGGCATTTCTTTCTAAATAGTGTTGAAACTCTTCAGTTGATCCTTGGGATGTTTCTGTTGTTGCTTTATTTTCTTCGTCCACCCAAGTAGTTACGTGCTCACCTTCATCCTCAACAATCATTAACCTCCGGAAGTTCGACATTTTGTAGAAATTGAGAGTTTTATAAAAATTCAAAATTTGTTTGAAATTGAGAATTTTGGGAAGATGGTTGAGAAAAAAGAAAATTGGATTGTGAATTTTGATTGGTAGAATTGTCTTTTTCCATTGTGATAAAAGAAATTGAGTAGAAATTGATAGAATAATATAAATAAATTGAGGGTGGGATAAAATGTCAAGAAATTGTGAAGACAAGTGATGTTTATAGATACACATTTTACATAAAAATTGTTAAGAATTTAATTTAATTTAAAAAAAAAAAAAAAAAAAAAAAAAAAAAACTAGTCGTTGCCAGCAATGGCCGGAAATGTGGCCGTTGCTGGCAACGGATAGAATTCTGGCCGTTGCTCGGCCAGCAACGGCCAGAATTCATTAAATTGAGAGTGGCAATCGCCCAGCCGGGCGCGTGGCACACACGCGCCTGCTGGGTGGGTAGTGAGACGCAACTGCGTCTCACTGCCTTCTTTTTTTATTATTATTATTTTATTAAATTTGATATTATTTCACATTTTGCAGGAGTACTCTTTTTGAATTAATCTATTTCCACATTAGCTATACACCTTAACTTGAGAGAATTAATGTAGAAAGAACTTGGAAAGAATTTGATGCTCTAAGGCTCCTTAACCTAAACCCATGTATAGTACGTAGATTCCTTGTTGACACAAAGGAGTTTCCTATTCTGCAGACATTAAAGTATCTGTCTTCCCATAATCTTCCATTCTCAACTACAAAAGTCACAAACCTGAAATTTTCACTTTCTGATTGATCAATTACTTTTCATTACAATTAAGGGAATCATTCATAATTCATAAATCTGGGTACCTCTCATTCCTCCGGATTAATGTCTGGGCAGGTGATGATTTCCAACATCTTATTACATACCTTCACATTCATCTGTTTTATGTATTATTCCTTCAAAATCTAAAAATCATTCAAGAATTTCAATGCTGTCTTTTGCTGCCAATGGTTATGTTGTGGAACCGTGTCCACCTTGGTTCTATGTTCATAATTACTTAACTATAGAGTTAATACCCAAAATAGTCCCTCGACTATGTCGTAATTACCAATTTGGTCCTCGACTATCATTCTTACCCAATTAAGTCCTCAACTATACAATTTTACTCAATTTAGTCCTTTGTCAATTTGACTGTTTGTTGACTGTCAAAAGTGGAAATAAAGTTGTAATTTTACAAGTTTTCTCCTTCCTCCGCATTTAGCAGCGCTAAACCATGTAGCAATAAGCTCCTGTTGGGTTCTAAACCTGTCAGTATC